TCAAAGATAAAATACTTAATTTAGACATTTTTTTAGTTATTATAAATATGGTGTGAATGATCAGTTTTTTATGTTTTGAAGTATTATATTAAATTGAAATCAAATAATCTTTTTAGTTATTAACAATCTAGTTAGAATGATCATTATTTATTTTTTGACGGATTACACTAAACTTAAATCAAATAATTTCTTATATAACGTCCAAATTATTTTATTAAAGTGATGTATCATATTTTTAATTTAAAAGGGAGGCTAGAACATGTATTTTCTATAAGACATGAGACATCAGGGTACCATAAAATAGAATAAATATTTTGTTATTGAATTGTTATAAATGAGATAAGATACATGAAACCCGATGCGAAAACCCAAATCCCGATGGGCGCCCCGATAATAAAACCATTAAATATCATGGCGGTTTTGGGAAACCATGCCCCGCCCCGTTGCCATTCATATAGTAGAAAGGTCTTAATGGATTAAGGGCATTTTGGACGTCCAAAGTCTTAAAGTTCGAGACTTTATGGTTCTGAGGTTCATTGATGTGACAACCCAAAACTTCCATCTTGTACAATTGGTCAATTTTATCAATGTTAAACTTGATTCTATCACCTTTTTAACATTGTTTAAGAGTTTGTTCAAGTGTTATAAGCCTAGTAGAATCAAAATTTGGGTTCTAGGTCGAGTTAGTCCAAGTCACAACACAACATTCAGGCCAAACACCCCTCCAGGAGGAGTGTACGGCCGCACACCAACCCCATGACTGCACACTCGGGGTGGGGGTCACCCATCCCTATATATATGAGTGGAGACCCCCTTCTTTCACTCTTTTCTTCTTTTGGCTGCACACTACCACTCTCTCTTTAGAATCATTATCCAAGAACACTTCAAAGGCTTCAAAAACGTAAGTAATTCATCCCTTAGCACGAAAAACCTCTTAATTCTTCATTATTCAGCCTTGCTCGTCGTCCCTTGAAGGTGTACGACCACACACCTTCATAAGTTTGGTCGTAAACACCTTAAAGTCCCTCCAATATGTGAGTTTGGGCCCTATATTCAAGTTGGTCATGACCTTAGCCCCGATGCACCTAAAAATTGACATGTTTAGCATGAATGGGAAGAGTGTACGGCCGCACAAACACCCTTAGGACCATACACCCACGTTGATGATCATATTTGACCTCAAACTTGCAATACCACTAAGTATGGAACCTAAAACACTCATTAGATGGTAGTAGGACCTTGGAAACAGCACAAAAACACTTCCCTTCATGAGTGTATGGTCGTACACTCATGGGCCATACACCCATGGCCGTACACACCCTTAGGGTGGCCTTACACCTCCCTCACTTGACCACATATGGTTTCGACACTTAGTTCAAGTGTTTCTGGGCCGTTAGAATGGTTTCCTATCATGTTTAGTCATGATATACCCTAATCTGATACATATATGTGCTATTATATGTTCAATAGGATCCACTTGCGTACGAAACATCAGTTGGCACTCAGCATCCATACTGATCTTACATTCGAGTCTCACGTCAAACATTGACTTCATACCCATACGCTTTTACGATTTTTAAACGTTTTTAGGGGGGGATACAAGCCAAAAACAAAGGTTTTCAACAAGTCAAACCGATGAAATTTATAAAAATCAACAGTTTTCATAAAGCATTTAGATAACCGATCCCTTTTGTATTATGCAGAGCATAAGGGATGTCAAACCCAAAAAATATAGGGGTACAATATACTCCAAAAGAACACCACTATATTGCACTAAAAGGTAGTACAAGGCAAGTGGGGTCGATCCACAGAGACACGGAATAATTCGTCTATACTACTTTGCAGAAGGTACTGTAGTCACAAAAGATTAAGGGGGGGGGGGTGGTCTTGAATGCAATGATTCAAATAAAGAACTAAATTAATAAGTAAGCAAATGATTAAGTGAAATAACTTCAAGATTTGTAAGTACTCCAACTCTATACAAGACTAATTGACTTTATGATTTAAGTATGAAATGACATTTGTTTAATTTTATCTAAGATGGTGTTTAGGAATTCTAATAAGCTCTAGCAATTCTCATTCACCATGTTATTTAATCAAAATAATCTCTCTGATTAATTCTAATCTAAACAAGCTCTTAGAATTAGGGGAAAGATTGCATTATACTTTGTGTGAATTTTACCAACAACATTCAATACTCCTCACAAGCTCGGGAGTGTTCGAATGTGTGAATTTGATTTACACTAGAATCATTTTAAATAGAATGATTTAATGCTTGTTACTTGTTCTATTTTACAAAACAATTACGGATTTTGTAATATAAGTAACATGAGTGATTTAACCCTAACTCAATTGGCCAAAAAGAACTAGAATTGAAATCAAACTTTCAATTAAAACAAAATCAAATTCACTACATAACATTAGAAACAAACATCAAATCACATGATTGAAGTCATAAACACAATAGTTAATGCATGAAATTGGAGAATTAAGTTTCTAGCCACTCATGACTAGAACAAACACAAATCTAGAAATTAAGAGTTAAATCTTACAAATTGAAATCAAAATGAAATCTAAGTGTTTTCAAGCAACAATTGTCTTATTAAAGCTCCCAAAATTGCCTCGTAGAACTCTAACATACGACTTAACTTCCCCAAGAACTAGTTGTCCTTCTTTAAATTAGAATAAAAATGTTTTAAAAACTGGCGACACGTTTACACGGCTCGTGTAAACTATAACTGACCATTTACACGGTCGTGTAAATACAAAAAGTAAAATGCTCAAATCTGCCAGGCCTTCAAAGTCCATTGCTGTTGAATATGTGTTTACACGACTTGTTTAAACTCAAGGCTTTTATTTACATGACCATGTAAATCTCTATAAAGCTAAAATCTTCATTTTCTTCTTATCTTTCTCCTCTATGCTCCGTAAGTCCCAAAAATTTTCCCTCAACTCTTTTTAACCTCCTAAATCAAGATCTAACCTCCAAAAGTCCCTGAAATATCATAAAAGTGTGTGAATGGAATTGTAGAATGAAAAATCCCGAAAAATATGCAAAATGCATGAGTTTAAACCTAAATGCGATGTACTTTTATGGATTAAAACTACAAAATGGATGCATGAAATGCACCTAACAAATCTCCCCAAGCTTGAAGCTTTCTTGTCCTCATGAAAGCATAAGAAAATTTTAAATAGGAGAAAATAGAATAAATGAGAAGAAAAGAAAATCAAAGTCAAACTTTTTGAAATCTAATGCATGAAATTAAAACAAACATGATAAAGATCCAACACAATTAACCCTGTTTTTGTACCATAGTTAAGAATGTACTTGTCGTGTCTTGGGTCAACTTAGCTTTAGTCTCAAAGTATTATATAACAATAGAAACAAGACTTAACCACTCCCTAATGCAACTCAACAGAATCAAAGATCACAACAGTTGCTCCGTCTCAATATCAACAAGTCAATTTATGGAACAAATTATGGTCTTACTCTCGTAAAATTGTATGCGACAAAACATGCTCAATCATCTTTGTTTCACAAAATATATCAATGCCTGATTCCAGTTGTTTATTGGTTAACAGCAATCTTTTTCTGAAAAATCTTTTCTAAAAATTCCATAATATTTACCCAGATTGGTTACAAATTTCAAACCACTTACTCCAGTCAATGTAATTAACATTCATTCCCAATGTCATAAGTTCAAATTCAAGTCCAAGGGAATCTTTTGGCAGCCAAATATGTTTCCTATATATATTATTCAATAAAGATATAAACACAAATATATATAAACTTCCTAATTACATTTCCCTACAAATAAAGCTCATGGCTTTCTCTGAAATCCGTGTAACGGGCTTCCAACCAACACATCCAAATCAGATGACCTTAGAATGCTAGATTTAAAAAGATCCCTTGGGTTTACTTGCCCGAACCTCAAAGGCTACATATTAGCTTTATTTGGTTATTAAGTTCATAACTTTCTATGGAACCCGTGTAACGAACTTTCAACCCAATCAGTCCCAAACAATTTTTCTTTAGGCGATTAGATGTGGAACACTCCTCGGAGTTTACTTGTTCGAGTCCTAAAGGTCACAGATTAACTTAATAACATTTTTTTTAAAGATAACACATAACACAGAACACTCTTATTAATTTATTTGTTTGACCTATTTCTTTATATTTTCCTCCTTGACTTTTTTCTATGGTGGGACATCTCACAGTCAATTACCATGTGGGGCTTCTAGACATTTTTCAGGGGACTGAACTTAACATGCAAAGACCCGTAGGTATAGTCTGAAACTGTGTCCCTAAGCAAGGTATGTAAAAGGGATTGAGAAGAAATGACTTTTAGAGCGCTGGAAGGTTCGGGACATTGAGATTTTATATTCTTTTTATGAATTTATGAATTTGGCATTTTAAGTTCAATTGAGCATTACTATTCATAAGACCAGTCATATGTCCCAAAAAATTAACTCATACCTGCTGTTTTGCTCAAATGTTGACAATCTTCTCACCTTATGTTTTGCACAAGTACCTTCGGGAGGTGTGTTCGTGAGCAATTAACTTGCTTTTAGATTTTTCATTAAAAAGAGCAAGCCAGTCTCAAGGCACATAACTCACTTACCAGCTCAACTGTTTTGAATAGATTCGGTTGCTTGGGATTGGATCGGATTTTTTTATATATGCAATGAATGCAATGTCAAAATTTAGATGCAAACAAAATGCAAAGAAAATAATAAAAATTAGAATAGAATAGAAAAATCTTTTTGGCTTTTGAAAAATTTTCTATGCAGAAAAATGAACAAGAAAATAAAAATTAATGCAATATGTACAAAATTACATGCAACCTACATGCAACAAGATTTATGCATGGATGGATGCCCCTCCCCAAGCTTAAAATATAGCATCGTCCTCGATGCTTGGAGAGAGGCGTAGCCGGTCTATTTTGGACCGAGCGGTGGAGGATATGGTGGGAACTGCAAAGGGTAATTAGAAGGATAAAATGGAGGTCACTGGGGTTGGGATGATGATGGAGGCTGCTACTGTTGGGTGGGAAGCACAAGTACTCGGTCGATATCGCTCAACAAATGATGAACATTGCGGTTATGCTGCTCTTGAGCCACCCATCGCTGATCCTACTCGGCCCATCGCAACTCTTGCTGGGCCCAACGCTCTTCTTGAAGGTCTCGGTAGTCCTACAATTCAGAAGTGATTTCAGCAACACCCGTATAAATCTCTCCTACTTCTTGCTATAGGCTCATGTAATGATGATCTAAGCGTGCAAATTTGCCCATGTAAAGATTATGTTCGGGAAAAGGAATACGGAGAGACGAGCTAGAATCACCTACAGTTGGAGTTGGAGCAGGAGGATTAGGAATGGTAGCTGAAGATCTACGGGTTACATTGACACCCAAGTTGGACTGGAGCTTCCAATTGGTAGATGGGATGTCATTGGCTAAAGATAATATCTTCTTATTTCGGATGTCGATGCGTAGATATTTTTACCATTGATAGTCCAATGAACATCCCCATTGGAATTGTGGTGGAAAAGATGCATGATTTCCAAAACCTCAAGTGATAAATGAGTACGGCCCGAAATTATATTGGTTGGATTGTTGGATAGATGGAGGCCAAGAGATTCAGCTATAATAGAAACAATGCCTCCACAATGAAGTTGGCCACCATTGCTCATGGAATTTATAAACATTTTCTGCACTACCCAACATCCTAAATGAGGGACTTCCTCGGGCTTGTTAATCATGCACCATAAAACTTCTAATTATTTTTTGTTCGCCTTGCTAATCACTTCTTGAGGAAATAAGAGAGAAGCAATAATCCGGTGGGTAACTTTCAGAACCGAATGAATAATACTAGAAGCTTTTGTTGTGCCTGACTGAAACTCATCTTCACAAGGGATACTTCTCAAAAACCTTCCACGGTGTTGCTCAAATACAACATTTCTTCTTCCCTTTGCTGTATATACATCCCTTTTCGCTTTTGGGGCACCAATCATATCACAGAGAGTATCAGCATGAATTCTATGGGATTGATTGAGAAAACGAAAGGTGAGAATGTGTGTTTGGTAATCGAAAGTGATGGATGACAATAACTCCAACATAGGGGTTTGATAGCGTATAGCATGGAGATTCAATAACCCTTCCCAACCAATTTTTTTAAAGAGCTTGTGGACACCTTTATAGATATGAAGGTCCTTGAGGGCTTGGATGTCCACAAATTTTTGTGCCCCTTTTACCCTTTGAATAAGGGCTGCATACAACATCTCTTGTTGATTGGATGAAAAAATAAAACCAAATTCATAGAGGTTTTTCATGGGTTGTTGGTCTTGTTCATCATAGGTTTCTTGACCACCCATATGTGAGGTCCCAATCATAGCCCTTTTTCCACGGGAAGCCATCTCCCAATTGAATTTAACAAAGTTTTGCACACAATGTAGGAAAATTTAAACTCAAGAGCATGCACAAAAACTATCAATATCACCAAAATCACCCTAAAATCTAACTATATGCACAAGTAAAGAGTTTGAAACAATTATACCAATTTATGCTTGAATATGGTGGTAGGGTGATGTCCAATGCTTCCCCAAGCTCTCCCCAAGCTTATCCTACAAGAAATTTCAAGCATTAGGTTGAGATTTGAATACCCAAAAATTCTAGGGTTTGCTCAAAACCCCTAAAATTGGCCATGAGAGGGTGATTTTGAGATGCAAGACAAAGAAGATGAAGAAAAGAGAAGAATTTCATACATTGGAGCTTGATTATTGATGAAAAATTGAGGAAGATTGAGTGATTTTAAGGGTTTTTTTTTTTTTTTTTTTTTTTCGAAGAGAGCAGTAGTGACAGAAAAGGAGTCGCATGTTTTGTGAAAGGAATGAGTAAAAAATTGAGTTTAGGCTTTAAAAACTTCACACCTCTGTTTTTACGTTTACACGGCCCGTGTATATTAAAGGGTAGCGTTTACACGACCGTGTAAATGAAGCGCCTGATTTGAGCTGATCTGGTTGTTTACACGGCCCGTGTAAATTGTAAGCATACGTTTACACGGTCGTGTAAAACTTTGCAAAGGACAAAAAAATTGATTTTTTCACTTTTCGAATTGCAATCCGCCAATCCACTACTGCCCGGAAAATTATTTTTTACCCTGGTTAAACATGCGAAACAACTTGGGAACTTGAAAACAAAGAAAATATGATGGAAAAACAAGGAATGACAAAAATACCCTCGGGTTGCCTCCCTGTTAGCCGCCCCTATTTAATGTCGTTGGCTCGACTTTGCCCCCTTAATGTGCTTCAATCTTGATACGTGGGCCTCTCCAACACATCAACCTCCTCGCCACCTCCTTCTTGACATGTATATTCTTTAAGGGATCCAGTGGAGTTTTTTGCTCTTGAATCTTGTGCTTTGTTCCACCGGTGGAAGGATTTTGACTTTGGTGGATGGATTGGGCTTTATATCATCACTCCTTACATGCTTCTTGTCATCAATAAACTCCAAACTCTCAAACACCTCATTGTTCCTATCGACCTCCTTTGCAAGATCTTTGGCTTTGTCCCTATCTATGTAACATCCGGAATCCCAGGTATGTTATTTTAATATTTTATTTTTGGAATTTGTGAAGGAACTCGGCGAGTTGATGCTTACACTCGCCGAGTAGGGTCGCGGTTGTTCATCCAGGTTCGCATTGGACTCAGCGAGTCCATGAGTGGACTCGGCGAGTCCACGCTGTTTAATGAAACCCTAATCCTCCAGGGTTGGAGCCTATTTAAGGGCATTCTTAGCCTCCAATTGCGGCTACCAGTCCCTTGAGAGCACCCTAAGTGAGATAGATTGTTTGAGAGGAAGGAGAAGCCATATTTGACCTTTCTATTTTTGGTTTGGCAAGAATAAGGTGATCAAGAGCAAGAGGAGACTGAAGAAGGTGTGGTTCTAGTGGTTTCAGAGTTCAGAGACTTCAACTTGAGGTATTTATTCAGACCTTCTTCGGTTTTGGTATTGATACCTAGAGTTAGGGTTTTCTATCCACCTTTGAGGATGATTATGTGGAACAATTGGTCCCTTATCGAGTTTATGCTTTGGACCTAGACTCAAAGAGGTCCAGAGACGTTAACCCTTGGAGCTTTATGAGTTATCTTGGGAGTTATGAGCTTAGGATGCCATTTTTGGGCATAAATATCCAAGTGTTACCATCTAGATGATATTTGAGTGTCAAGGTCGGGACTTTACGTAATTAATATGCTTGGGAAGGACTGTAACAACCCGCTATTTCAAGTCAGTAAAAATCGAGTCCTGTAACCTCTTTGAGAAAGGAATTAGAATATCATCGAAAAATGAAGTATTCAAAAACTCTATTTGGAGTACACTATGTGGTAGTTATCGTCTTAAGGTTTCCAAACATATAAATAACACAAAAATCCGAGTTATAACGAAGAAGTTATGATCATTCTAAGTTTTACGACAAAAACCAGCAATACGAAGTTGCGTAAAAACGCAAAGTTTCAATAAAACACTTTCCGACCTTAGGTGTCTAAATGAAAGTCGTAGATATCGTTAAACTACAAACATGCATAAAAAGAACGCTCAAATCGGACATCGTATGAATAAGTTATGAATTTTTAAAGAAAATCCTTAATCACGTCATTTTAATAAATAAATAATAAAAATAATTCCGGAATTTGCCAACGGAATCTAAATGAAAGTTGTAGATCGTAGTCTCACCTTCGCGGGGATATAAAGAACGTCAAAAACGGAGTTCGTATGAAGGAGATATGAATTTTCGAAGTTTGATAAATAATTTATATATATTTTTATTAAAACTTCGGTATTATCCGAAGGGGAGTCAGCGTCCTCATCCGAGGTACGCGCTGCGTACTCCTGTACGCCCCGCGTACCCGAGGAACTTGGCCTCAAACCGTCCACGTCGCCCTATGCGAGGCATCCGACCCGCCCGTCCGACCCGCGTCCCATCCGACCCGACTGCCTGAGCCGTCCCATCCGAGGCCGAGGCAGTCGAGGCTTCGGTCACGCATGACGTACGCGTACGCGCTGCGTACGAGCGTACGCCCCGCGTACGAGGCCTCTCAGGCCCCCTATAAATAGCATGCGAGGGTTCCCGGGAAAATGGCCATTCTCTCTCCTTTTTCTTGCGTTTTACCTCGTTTTCCGTGCTCGCACTACCCCGAAGCCCTGGTCATTTTGTGCAAGTCCCGAAGGTCGATTTTTCTCCCGAGGAATCCCGAGATTTCCGAGGAAAATCCATTTCCCGAGACGAAACTCTGCCCGGTTTTCCATCTTGCTATCTTCAAACTTTCAAGTGAGTTCATACCCCTTTCAAACACACTTTAAATACATTTTAAATGCTTTTATACTCTTTTAGGGGGGAATACAAGTAAACATACGGTTATTATCGTGTATTTTATAAAGTTTCACTTCACTTGTTTTATCGAATAAATCACTTGGAACTCATTACTATTATGGAAAACTCTTGTCATACTTTGCGTGCATTAGACATTATACAAAGTATATAATGATTTCAAAGTAACTTTCATTGTTAAGTCGTTTTATACATTCTAAAAACTTATGATTTTGCTTTGTCAAACATTGTGAAAAAGGATAAACTTTGCATAGAAAACTATCACTTTAATACGGGCTTAGTTGAGAATCCATGAGACGTGTATATCTTCAAACGTTACTTTTCTTTATTAGAAAGTAATGCTGCAAGTCCTGTCTATAACCAGAGTCTCCCGTTCGGAGAACGTGTCAAATGTGTATAGATCTATACGGGAAGTCATGATCCCGCGCCCTGACTGTTAGCTACAGTCCGTCTTTTGGGGTGACAGTTGTCATAACGCTGCGACGCCTGAAGAACGTCGTTACAGGCATATTATGTTTAGTATGGTTATAAAACTCATCGGATATACAATTATTATGGTATTATGCTTTTATGAACGAGTAGCTATTAAAACTATTCTTCATCTAATAAATGCGATCTTCGTATAGTTTTATATATAAAACTATGACACAACTTTTGAGAACGTCGGTTTCTTGCGATTTTCGGTCTTAGAGACTGCCATTTATGTTAGGAAAATAAGGGTTTCTCCTGCATACAAACCAAACAACTAATAGGAAAATAAGGGATTTTCCTGGTGCAATTATTTACAACTTATAACACGAACATTTATATGCATTTCATACTTTTATAAGAAAATAAGGGTTTTTCTTGGAAAACACAACAACTCGTATCTCAACCATTAGGGAAAATATGGGATTTTCTGGATCTAATACATTCACTTTCAACACAACAAATCACAACTCTTTACATTTGAAATGCTGCGTTTTCTGGAAAATATACACCCATTTTGGAATGGCATCCAATTTTTCTAAACTACTTATGAACTCACCAACTTAATTGTTGACACTTTTTCTTTGAAATAACTTGTATTCTCAGGGAACCGCTAAGCAGGTTTGGGAATCAACTTTTGGGATTAACGCGCTGGC